CCATCTTGAGGGCAAACATGTCTTTTTAGGTAATGCAAAAAAAAATACCATGCATCTGTTGTTTCACCCTCAATAATGGCAAAGACAATTGGAAAGATTTTGTTGTTACCATCTTGTGACATTAACTTGAACAATGGGCTTGAAATATTTGAACTCATCGATACAAGGTTTAAATGTCCAAAATACTCGATGGAATTGAACATAATCAGGAACCATTTCACCTTTTTGGTTGTATAGTGACTTTGTCTGCTTCTCAACAACAAATCCATTAAGAAATATTTTCATGGAATTCAATAACTTGGGTAAATCATGGTATGATTGTTCCTAATTGCAATGTAAATCTTCAATTTCCTTTTGCTTTGTCATCTATGCTTTTCGGTATGAGATTGTGTAGCCTTTGACACTTTCGATGTGAGCTATTATTGTTGGGATTGAAATTGATGGATCATTCTCCACCAATGGAAGAATACTTTTGCTGATATATACATAGCCAAGGTTGACATGATCTTGTGAGATAACTGGGGATGAATAAGAATGTTCATATGATAGCCCACGAACCTCCCATTTTTGGCTTCTTTAATGAAAGTCGCGCTGCACCCAACCACATTGTACAACAATTAATGTTGGAAACGATTTCTTGATCTTGTAATACAGAAATTTTTTGACATGATACGCATTTAAAACATGTTTGACTTCCTCCTTTGTGACAAAAGTCATGCCTTAAAAGAGGGTGTTAGGAGCATATTGGACTTTAGCATGGTCAAGTGCATGTTTATACTCAGGATTAGTGAAATCTGTTTGTAGATCAACATTGTGCATGTGTGCTTGAAAATTGAATGCAGTTGAAGATGTGCCTACATACTGAGGTTGTTGTTGAACAAGATCTTGTGCGTCTTGTTCATCCTCTTATTAGAGTCTTACTTCATCTTCATTCCCACTAAAAGGACTGACTTCTTCTTTTGGAACTCCAATCTTAAGTAGGCTACCATCGACTTCTTCTTTTGGAACTCCAGACTCAAATAGGCCATCAATGCCTTATTCTTCTTCTAGGACTCCAAATGCAAGGAGGTTGCCAAAGGATCCATGTGGTAATTACTTGTTGAGGTATGGTGAGTCATAGTTTCTTTAAAAAAGGGTAGAAAGCAGGTGGCTGAAAGAACTTGTGTGTGGATGAAAATGGTGTTCTATTGATTGTTGGGAATAATCTAACGAAGGCTGGTTTTGAAAGTAAGGTGGAGGACTATTATTTATTTGTGTAACATTCGCATATAGTTCAAAAGAAGTAAGAAATTTATGGCTACGAATAAGTTGAATCATGCCATGCATGTCTTCATCGTCCGTTAGTTTGACAACTCGGTAATGAAGCATTTCTCCGCCTACCACTTGTGAATATCGGAAGTAAAGGTGATCAATTGAATAATGTTGTGGTAAGTTGATTCTTCTTTAGATTTTTTTTTCAATGCATCAAGTGTGGTATATGGATTAACTGAGAAAAAGATTGGGTCAGAGGATACAAAATTGCCCAATTCGTTTGTTTGAGTGATCTCACCATTGTAGAAGACCAACACATAGAAAGAAGAGGAATAGCCTCCCTAGGTCATGGCTTGCTAGTTCATGCACGTGCTATCAAGCAAGGTTTTGAGTCCAGCTTATACGTCACAAGTTCCTTGCTCAATATGTATGGCAAGTGTGAAACGCTACATGCTGCCCCCCAAGTGTTTGACAAGATCTTTGAGGAGAACAATGATAAAAAAAGACATCCAAAAGATGCCGGGGTGTAGCTGGATTGTAGTGGGGCGAAAGACAAACCTATTTGCTGCGGGTGATATATCGCATCCCAGTTATGATGAAATTTTACAAGCTTTAAAGCATCTGAGAGCACTAAGGCTTTGTTTGGATTTGAGGATGGAAAAGGGGGAGTGAAAAAGGAGGGATTTGAAAGGAAAGTGAGTGGAAAGTGAAGTTGTTTAGATTAAGGGAAAGTGAGTGGAAAGTGTAGAGAAAGTTTATAAAAGTTTGTGAATGAATTGATTGATGTGATAGATAAAAATAAATTTTTTAATTGATAATTTTATAAGATTACTATTTTGCCTTTAGGTTAAAAAAAGTTTATAATTATTATAATTAAAAGATAAATATACAAATTTTAACAAAAAATAAATATAAAATCTTAATTTAAAAATAATTTAATTTAAATATTTGCTTTAAATTTAATGATAAATAAAAATTAAAAATTGAATAAATGAATATGTAATTTACACTTTTATCCTTAGATTAAAAATGAGTATAATATTATTTATTGTAAATAATAATAATTACAATAAAATTATATTAATAGGTATAATTTATTAAAAAAATAATAAATAATAATAATAATAATAAATATTAGAAAAATAATAAGAATCATAATAAATAATAATGATACTAATTATTATAAATAATAATAATATTAATAATAATAATAATAATAATATTTATAATAATAAATAATAATAACAAAATATATTATGATAATTAAATTTTTTAACATTATTTTATATCCAGAACGGCTCGTTCTCAGACCAGAACGGC